AAATATATATATATATATATATATAGAGAGAGAGAGAGAGAGAGAGAGAGAGAAATGTTACATGTACTACACATGAATTACAACCTCTCACAAAGGAGGTGGGCTCCGCGATTAAAATAATAGTGGGCTTCACAGGTTGTAATCCAATGTTGTAACCTAACATTGTACAATAGCACAATTCACACACACACACACACACACACATATATATATAGTTCACAATTAATTTGGTGGATAAATGAATTATCTTTTGTATGTGAAGAGGCGTCAAAATGCGACGGATGAAACACACTAAAAATATTTATTATGTAAGGGCAATTAACAATAACAAGATGCGTAGTCTTCATTAAAATAGACATAGTTCATGTAAAAGATATATGGATTGAATATTTTTCGAACTTTTTTACAACAAAATTGATAGTTCGTTGAATTCGTTTTTTCCAATATTTGGGATTATTCCTTAAAACTTAAATTTTACCATTGGGCATGTTTGACAATGATTAAAACAAACTCTTTTTTCTTTCAAACACATTTTTAACCACATTCTTATAATAAAATATTTTTCATGTAAATTAAAAAATAATTCTTATTTTTTAACTACACATTTTCTAAAAACTTGCTATTTCAAAGCTCATTTTTTCAAAAAAATTCATTTAATGGTTGTCAAGGGCTTTACAAGGTGGGGTGCCATATCGGGCCTTTGCCAATTGGGCTACTTATCCACAAAATCCTATGAAGACTCCGTTTGTTTCTCATTTTTCATCCATAAAAATGAAAAATATGACCATTATTTATCACATCAAACCATCAATTTTGAATTTCTATCTCTTGTATGGGACCCAATAACAACTATATTTTTCATTTTCATTTTATAATAATGAGAATCAAATGGGCCCTAAGAAATAACTCGAGCGATCACGTGATGGGCCCATGGAATGAAAAGCCCAATCAAATACGTCCAACACCCAATTTATAAATGCCCAGAAAGCCGATATACTAGATTTCTTGAATTAGGGTTTTACACTTCAACTAGGCGGCTCCTCTTCTCCTCCAATCCCTCAAACCCTAGGCTAGAACTTTATTCAGTTCAATCTGCAATCATGGGGTATGTTCACTGAATTTTGTACTATATCAAGTTATATAATCATGTCTACGAAAATTATGGATTTTATTGTAAAGATTTTCAATTGCTTTATATTGTATTTTGGTTTAATCGGCTGTCAGACATGGATATTCGTTTTCTTAGTTTCTTGGTGCTTTATTCAACCACGGTGCAATAATGTGATCTAGAAAGCTGAGTGCTTTAATTGTATGTATTGTTATATCGAAGAATATCATAATCAGTTAACGAAAAGAGGTCTAGGAAGGAATAGAGAATATCAGATTCAGTTTACGAATCATCAATGGATTTGTGTACTTAAGTTGATATGTTACGGTATGGTTGCTTGCTGTAATTAGAATGTATTAATTACAAATGTTGATGATTCTAGAAATTGACAATTCGCACCAAAATATATTGGGAGTTATTAACATAATCCGGTTGATGATTTTAGTTCTTCAAAATGACCTAAACGTGTTACCCAAAATTTCTGGTTATATAATATGTATACTTGTGTGGATATACTTGTGAATTTTGGAGAGGGCTAATGAGGATGAAATTAAATTTTTGGAACCTCATTACGAGAAATGGACTAATAGGACTTTCCATAGTGTTAATTCTGTTGAAACTGTCTATGCATCGTGGCATCAGCCATCAAAAGTTAGCAATGCTTATCACCGGATTACTTGTTCCCTTGGGAAATATACGAAACCAATCTTGCAACAATTCGAAACCTAAGGGAATGCAAAACATTTTACAGGGTAATTTAGTTAGCGATCCATGTGGTTACGTCCTTTGTAATTCTGTTATTAGTAATTCCATGCCTCCTCAAGTAACCAATTGTGCCTATTTCAGTTTTATGTGGGTTAATACGCTTGACATGATCATACAGGAAGACACGTGGTATGGGAGCTGGTCGCAAGCTGAAGTCCCACCGCAGAAGACAGAGGTGGGCTGACAAGGCCTATAAGAAATCCCATCTTGGGAATGAATGGAAGAAACCATTCGCTGGGTCATCGCATGCAAAGGGCATTGTGCTCGAGAAGATGTTAGAATTCACTTTTGTTTTATTTGTTTTCATCAGTTTTTCTTGATTTCTTCACCTATGGAACTGATATTTTTTATTTCTATTACCTTTTGTCATTGACAGAGGTATTGAAGCTAAACAGCCCAACTCTGCTATTCGTAAATGTGCTAGGGTTCACCTCATTAAGAATGGCAAGAAGATTGCTGCTTTTGTCCCCAATGATGGTTATTTTTTATTTCTATTACCTTTTGTCATTGACAGAGGTATTGAAGCTAAACAGCCCACCTCTGCTAGTCGTAAATGTGCTAGGGTTCAACTCATTAAGAATGGCAAGAAGATTGCTGCTTTTGTCCCCAATGATGGTTGTTTAAACTACATCGAAGAAAATGTGAGTCCTGTTCATTAATTCTATTGCTTGTGATTGCTTTTTGCTGTTTTAAATCGTGTTTCTTACCTTTTGCTACAGGATGAAGTTTTGATTGCTGGATTTGGACGTAAGGGACATGCTGTGGGGGATATTCCCGGTGTTAGATTCAAGGTGGTGAAGGTATCTGGTGTTTCCCTCCTGGCCCTCTTCAAGGAGAAAAAGGAAAAGCCAAGGTCTTAGTTGGCTGGTCTAGCGATTTTGATACTTCTTAAGCATGATGAACACCTGAATTGTCTGAGTTAATTTTATGAACAATCTCCATTTTTTTTTAACTTACTGTATCAGAATTTGTGCTGCATTTCTTGATATATTCAGATAACCATTTTTGGGAGTTGTATCTATAGCTCTCATGTTCATGGTGTTTATGTTGCATTTTTGCTTATATTATAAGTTATTCTATATTTTTTTTCTAAGTTCCCGTTAATTAAATATTTTTGATGCAATGAATTTTATTTGAAGAAGTTTGAAGGTATTATTTCTGATATAGTATTTGCATAAAGTCAATTTGGATAATGCAAAAAGAATTATTGTTAATTAAATGATGGTATGTGAACAAGATAATTCGCAGATTCTTCAAGATTTGTTTTAAATTTCTAATAAAGCTTATTACAAATTAGTGTTAATGAAAGTATGCCGACAATAGGCACATGGAATTTCTTGTTTGAAGATTATCATCGATTACACGGGCCGCAAATTGGAATCCAACCAAGAACGTGTCTTTTGAGGAATAGTTCGTAAAAATCTACTGAAAAACATGCTAAGAAACATTGCTTCTCAATAGAACATCTTTAAGAGAGTTTATAAAGATGCGATGTAGGCTATTGAACAAGCATAGGGAAGGAAGTTTGAGTATTAGGTTTTGGATAATGCTATTTCAACAAGTCTATGTGGCGCCACGTCTCCTCCATTTTGAACATGGCTTACGTGGCCCTGTTCATGTAGGAAGACCATTTGGTTTTTTATCTTGCAGGCCTAGTTTGTCTATTTTTATTTCATCGATCGGTCTCTATTCTTCGTTCTATCCCTGTTTCTTACTAAAAAACCTCGATAGGGAATCCTCCTATCAATTGAGCAAAGAGTCAGACTCAATCTTTGAAATTCAATAGAAAGCCAATTTTATACATCTAGCCTTTTTAACATGGTACTCAAATTTTATTTTTATACTTATCTTGCCTGAACCTAAGTTCTAAAACTGAAATTCAATTCTAGGCAAATGACACATAATCTGCATGTATTAATGAGACAGTTCCACTCAATACAAGACATATAAATAGAGTTCTATTAACATCAACATGGAACAAATGTTGGGCTCATGTGAGCATGAAAAGATTTCTCCTTCAGCAGCAAGTGTTTCTATAATCAAATCTATGCATGAACAGAAGTCACAACATTATTTATTATTATACACATCCAATTATAAGGTCTCTGTCCCTGGAAAAGAGTAAATATTTTCATCTGCCAAACGAGCAAGGCATTCCATTTGGTTGTGTACCTCATAATGCTGCATGCTGATGACTATCATAAGCTGTTATCTTTCTGCAAGGGAGATGGTGGGAGCAAACAAGAAGTCCCACATCGATTAGAAGAAGAAAAGAAATCCACCTTATAAACCAAGTGAGCTACTTCACCCATTGCCAATTGGTTTTGGGTTGGAACCTCACTTGGGTTTGATGGTGTGGGCTTGGGCCCGATCAATTTGTTCATTATTTTCCCTACAATTGGTATCAGAGCCCAGAGTTGGAGGAATGCAGTAGAAAGCGTGGTGGTGATCGGGCTAAAAATCATTCGCGTTTGAGGTGCCTTGTGTCGAAAGTCTTCCTGACATTGGTGGTCAGGCGGCGAGTCCTATTTGGTCGAGAGCGACGGTAATAACGGCAGTACGAGATGATTGGTGAATGAATTATCGTTTGAGGGGAGGCCACAATGATGTGGTCATTCGTTTGTGGGGAGGATTGTTGGGAGCAAACAAGAAGTTCCACATCGGTTGGGAGAAGAAAAGAAATCCATCGTATAACCCAAGTGAGCTACTCTACCCATTGCCAATTGGTTTTGGGTTGGAACCTCACTTGGGCTTAGTGGTGTGGGTTTGGGCCCGGTCAATTTGCTCATTATTTTCCCAACAGGAGAATTTGCCTTCTTTAAATTCTGGACAGCCAAGTCGTGAGAAATAAGAAGTCATTAGTCATTACAGAAAGAATACTAGACAGCAAAAGGGCTCTGCCACCTACAGGCTCGGAGGTTATAGCAGAGGTTTCTGAAGCGCAATCTGATATTTCACTAATGATTTCATCTATTTGGCCATGGATATTTGAGTTTTCATCTATTTTGTGTTTGCTTATCCCGTTCACTTGGATCTCCAATACGACCATTTTCTTTTCTATCCACTCTGCAATTTGGATAGGATTTCTTAGCATGATCTCGTGTCATCTACTTTCTGACCGACTCTTGTGGAACCTGAAGAATTGCACCCTTCAACAGGTACAATCTCGAAATTTCCTGTCCCCCATTTTCATGCATATAATACCATTTTATCCTTCAAGACTCCTAAATTCTCATTTGTGCTTGCCCTGGAACCTGTATCTATGTCAATCTTAGCATCATCAGGCCATCCACCAACAACTTTCTGCACATTCAAGCAACTTTCTCCCCTCGTATTTTCTTCAACTTCAACAGATGACTTGGGGCAATATTTTACATCTACTGGAGAAGTAGAAACATTTGTTGAAGTATATGATTTTTTTTCGAGGATAAAGGATATGTGGTTTTCTGAGGATCAAGGTTTGTGTTTGCAGTTACCGTTCTAGCTGTTGGACGCTTTCTAAGCTTTGGTTTGATGTTGGAGCTCCCGTTTGAATTGCACATGGCACCTCCTTTCGCAGGTAGCATAGAATGAATTCCAGATTGAGACTGCACAGTTCCCTTAGGAATGTGAGCGGACGACTTCACCTATGTGACATAATAATTTAGTTTGGTTCTGCTGAGAATAGAATAATACCTTTCACTCATAAGAACTGAGAAAATAATTTATGAAGAATCTTACCTAGAGAGCATGGCAACATAAATTTTACTAGTTAAAACACATCTCGGTTTCAGTAATCATTCGAGTTTCTGAACTATCGCTTAAATATTGACTTGTCAATCATTTAGTACTAAAACTTGAAACTAAAAGGCACGTATTCAGAAAGAATCAAAACTAACCCCATCAAAGAACCCAATCTTTGGGGATGGCATTCGTAGTCCTGACACCTTCAGAGGAGCCTGATTAGAAATTGTACCAGCTTGTGTTGAGAATTTCCTTGTAATGTTACCAGATGAAGCTGTTCCCCGACTTTTATGTCCACGGGCAATTTGATTCATGTACTGATTCTTTAGATCCAAAGAAACTATATCACCATCAACAGACCTGCTGGAACTGGTATCAAGACTGTTCATTGAGTTGTTGGACCTTTGGTTGACCGTTGAAGAAGATGATGACGCTGAAGACAACTCACCAATAGAACTAGTTGGTTATACATTTGAGGTCATAGTTGACACCAGATAAGCTGACATGGCAGATGATGAAGGCTTATTCTTCAATTTAGCTTTTGACAGGGTTTTAGGAATGGAACCAGAAGAAGCTGAATTGAGAGCGCTGCTTTTGATGGGATTTCTTCTTACTATCATTAATGAAGATTTAGCAGCCGTTTAAGATGATGCAGTACTGTTGCTCGAAGTGGATCTTTTAGACTGCATCTCTGCTTGTAGTTGAAGAACCTGAAGAAGAGGACTTGGAAGACGATGCAGTACCTTTCTTGTACCTCTTAAGACAGGTAACTTTGATGCTAGAGTCCCTTTAATGGCAACTATCAATTTCAAGGTAAGAATGTTACAGATGGAAATAAATTGTTGATCGTCTACTGAATTAATCAATGTCAGAATATTGTTACTAGTATTGAGATTTGTGCCTCCATTTTCAGTTTTGACACCACTACCCAAAGAAGACCTCTTTGCTGCAGCCGTTGAAGTGGGGATGGCCCTATTGATTTCCTTGCGTGGTTTGGGAAGTGATGAACTTGACTGCCCAATCTTAGCAATAGACTTCTGCAAACAAAAATATGGCTACTGTCAGTAATTAATCAATATAAAACATGTAATATTCTGTTCTTAGGAAAGATTCTGATATTCAAAATGAGCAAAAGACGGATGTGAGTTTTGAATCATGTTCTGCATGTACGTTGGTAATGATCTGATAGATAACAGATACCAGATGCAACAACAAAAGATATAAGCCAAATAAAGCATACCTTATGTCACTTGCGAATGTCCAGAATCCTGCTTAACTACTTTCTCTGATCCTTGCAGCCCAATATTTTGCTTTGGCTGACATTTTGACATCCTAATTACTTTCAAGCCAATATATTTCTTTGTAGTAGGATTTGGAATTAGCTGAATATTAACATTGCATTCTCCAGTTATAATAGTAATCAGCGAAGTAGTGATAATCAACAGGTGTGTTCCATTCGCTCAAACAAACCTGATTCTCAAAAGCCATGTCTTCCTTCCTCAGACCTACAAAATATTACAGTATTAGTTCAAGAAAATATAGTTGAAATTACACACAGAACACAGCATACTAGTTTCCAATGAATGAACGAACGAACAAAGCAAGTAAAAAAATTCCATGTATAGATTACCGAAACTAAGCGCCAGCAAAACTGCCGAGAACATTTTGCTAACGATGCCTTCTTTTTTCCTTTTATTTTTAACATTTGGATTTGGTAAAAAATTAAAATAGCAACAATGCACGATTATCAAAATATGTCATCATGCCAAAAGTAATTCACTCAAGCAGAGTTCAATATGAAGGTGAGACGTGCTTGGATGAACTTTCTTAACTTTCCCTTGTCAGCATTAGTTTTACTTAATTTCCATTTCTAAAACTAAAAGCATTGTTGTCGTATAAGTGTAAGACCCAGACCACAACACGATATAAGTATTCGAAACAAACAATAACCTCAACAGTAAAGAAAAATTCCAGAAATTAAAGAATGAACACGAGAATGGTTTTGGCCGTAGCCCCGGAGGTTCGGTGACCGCTTCAAACACCTACATCCCCTGTTGAGCATCCATAAATAGGAATATGCTCAAATACACTAAATCGGCCACAAAATGGCAGCAAATGTTACAGAGAGTTCAAGAAAGAGATATGAGACTTATCTCTCAAAGTACATCAAAATGATATCCCACGATTCACTCATAAAGCACCAAGAACCCCTTCGAACATACACACAGTATTGCAATAGAGAAATCAAATACAGCTTCTCAATATT